AAAAAAAAAAAAAAAAATTAAAAGAAAATTCCAGCTGGGCGCGGTGGCTCACTCCTGTAATCCCAGCACTTTGGGAGTCCGAGATGGGCGGATCACGAGGTCAGGAGATAGAGATCATCCTGGCTAACACGGGGAAACCCTGTCTCTACTAAAAATACAAAAAATTAGCCAGGTGTGGTGGCGGGCGCCTGTAGTCCCAGCTACTCGGGAGGTTGAGGCAGGAGAATGGTGTGAACCCGGGAGGCGGGGCTTGCAGTGAGCCAAGATTGCGCTACTGCACTCCAGTCTGGGTGACAGAGCGAGACTCCATCTCAAAAAAAAAAAAAAGAAAATTCCCAGGAGTTCAAGACCAGACTGGGCAACACAGCAAGACCTCGTCCCTACAAAAAAAATTAAAATAAGAAAATTAGCCAGGCATGGTGGCCCATGGCTGAGTCCCAGCTGCTTAGGAGGCTGAGGTGGGAGGATCGCGCTTGAGCCCAGGAGTTCAAGACTATGAGGTATGATTGTGCCATTGCACTCCAGCCTGAGGGAGACCCTGTCTGAAAAAAAAAACAAACCAAACCACACACATATATCAGAACTTATGAATACAGACTCTGAGACCAAGTGTCTCCTCTTGGAAGTTCACCTGCAGGCAAGGTAGTCAGCCCACGCTAGAGCACTGTCATACGCTGCAAAGCAGAGGGCAGTGAGGACCAGATGCTTTAGCTGGGCAGCTTTAGAACTGCATGTAATCTCTAGCTAGAAGCCAAGAAGCACTCCCTCCAAATCAAAAATCCCACTTAATGCCAAAAACCTAGCAATGTGTCAAAGCCATAAGAAAAGCACTCTTACCTATTTAACAACTGGTTAATCAGGTATCTATTAAATGTTGACTTTCCAACATCCTGGGATCCACAAACCAGAATGACAGGGCAGCCATCTACTTCTTCTGAAGGGGAAACAAACATTGATCGCTAGAATCAGCCATCTTCCTTGGACTTGAATTATGACTAATCATCATCTGGGGGTTTGCTGGACAGATACTCAGGGTGATCAGTGTGTATTACTCACCACAGGAAACACTGACTAACTCTTCCAGGGCTGAAAGGGTACTCTCGGTTAACTGAAGGCCTTTCCTTTTTTTCTCTTTTCGGATGCCAACAGACCTCAAGGCTAAATATTCAGGTTTAATCTGGGGAGTTGGACTCTGAAATCAACAATTTAAACTTTAAGGTGAAAAAATGCATAGTTTTTTCTTCAGTACTAAATTAAACAAGCCTCACCCAGTTATGAGCCAGAGAAGATAAATTGTTTCCTCCCTTTGTCTCCTGACCCAAAATCCAGCCCATCAACAAGTGTTGCCAACTGTCTTCCTGAAGTTATCCACGTCTGTTTTCTGTTTGTGCTTTCTCCCGAGCTGCCACTGCCTCCACAGCAGACTCCGGAGAAAAAGAGAATGCCTGGTAAGACATGACTGCACAGGAAGCATTCAGCAAGGGGCCCTGGCTCTAGACCAGGTGAGTGATGTAGAGTTAAGTCAAGGCAACCTCTGAAAACATAAAGCAGAAACACACAGAACGTATGCAAACAGAGTTGAAAGGAGGGAGAACACAGGTCTGTGAAGTCCAGGACTGGAAAAGCAGCCCAAGGAAAGGAAGAGCAGACCCTTGCTGAGGCAGGTAAGGCTCAGCTGGAACCAGCTCACCACAGAAGAGGATGAAGGAAGGGACCCCCTCCATGAGCACATCCTCTTGCAATTCATCAACACAGAATAAAGACATCATAGGCCGGGCGCGGTGGCTCGCGCCTGTAATCCCACCACTTTGGGAGGCCGACACAGGCAGATCACCTGAGGTCAGGAGTTCGAGACCAGCCTCAACATGGAGAAACCCTGTCTCTACTAAAAATATAAAATTAGCCTGACATGGTGGCACATTCCTGTAATCCCAGCTACCCGGGAGGCTGAGGCAGGAGACTGTCTCTTATACACATCTAGATGTGTATAAGAGACAGAAGTGAGAATGGTCCAGCTTTTGACACAGCATCATAGGCTTTCCTACACCGTGATAGGGTTCCTACAATACTCCGTGATAGGGTTCCTACAATACTCCGTGATAGGGTTCCTACAATACACTGTGATAGGGTTCCTACAATACACCGTGATAGGGTTCCTACAATACACCACGATAGGGTTCCTACAATACACCGTGATAGGGTTCCTACAATACACCGTGACAGGGTTCCTACAATACACCGTGCTAGGCTTCCTACAATACACCATGATAGGGTTCCTACAATATACTGTCATAGGCTTCCTACAATACACCATGACAGGGTTCCTACAATACACCGTGCTAGGCTTCCTACAACACAGCCTCGTTTTGTTAAGAGCCTCCTGAACCCCTGGTAATAAAACTGTTTGTCTCTGTAACAAGAAGGTTGGGAAAACACCAAAATCTGCATTGGCGTGGGCCCAGGCAGGCTTCAAGGGGTCCATGCCATGAGACCTACAGTTCTTTTTTTTTGAGACGGATTCTCACTTTGTCTCCCAGGCTGGAGTGCAGTGGTGCAATCTCCGCTCATTGCAACCTCCGTCTCCCAGGTTCCAGCGATTCTCCTGCCTCAGCCTCTGGAGTAGCTGAGATTACAGGCGCGTGCCCCACGCCCAGCTAATTTTTTGTATTTTTACTAGAGATGGGGTTTCACCATGTTGGCCAGGCTGGTCTTCAACTCCTGACCTGAAGTGATCTGCCCACTTCGGCCTCCCAAAGTGCTGGGATTACAGGCATGAGTCACCGCACCCGGCCAAGATCTAAAGTTCTTATGAGATTGTCCAAAACAAAAAACATGTCAGCAGAGCCTACGGTGGTTCCATGTGTGCTAAATGTGTTCAAGACAGGACCAAGCGTGCTTTCCTTCTCGAGGAGGAGAACATCATTGCAAAAGTGTTGAAGGCACAAACACAGAGTCAGAAAGCTAAATAAAAAATGAAGCCTTTTTGAGTAATAAAAATTACGACTTGTTAAAAATTAGAGGTAAGGAAAGAGGTAAAAGAAAATATAAGCACATTTAAACTACTCATTCATCGTTTAGAGAAAATTTTTATTATCTCAAATTAATAAACAGAGATATAAAGACAACCATGAAAAATCCCAAAAAAGGCCAGGCGTGGTGGCTCACACCTATAATCCCAGCACTTTGGGAGGCAAAGCAGAGGTGGGTGGATCACCTGAGGTCAGGAATTTGAGACCAGACTGACCAACATGGTGAAACCCTGTCTGTACTAAAAAACACAAAAATTAGCCGGGCATGGTGGCATGCACCTGTGGTCCCAGCTACTCGGGAGGCTGAGGCAGGAAAATCACTTGAACCCAGGAGGCGGAGGTTGCAGTGAGCCGACATTGCACCACTGTACTCCGGCCTGGTGACAGAGTGAGACGACTCCATCTCAAAACAAAAAACAAAAAACAAGAAAAAAAAATTAGCCGGGCATGGTGGCAGGCGCCTGTAATCCCAGCTACTTAAGAGGCTGAGGTAGGAGAATCGCTTGACCCTGGGAAGCGGGGGTTGCAGTGAGGTTGAGGTTACACCACTACAATCCAGCCTGAGTGACAGAGACTCAGTCTCAAAAACAAACAAACAAACAAACAAACAAACAAAACCAAAAAAGCAGGGCTGGAGCATGGTGTTAATAAAAACCCAAAAAGCACATAACCAACTACGATATAAAATGCTGGCTGAGGAATGAAACTGAGGAGGGGAGGATGAACATTTTTCACAATATACCTTTCTATACTATTTTCTGTATACACGTATTACATTCGGTAGAACCGAGAGCACTATGTGGACAAACTGCTCTTCCAAGACAACATCCTACATAGTCATTTAATATCACTGTTTTGGTGCAAGTAATTAGCAAATCTCTGAATAAAAACGGGTTCTACCTCTTGCACAAAAATGTAGGATGAACCTGGATAGCTGGTTATGAAGTTTACAGACGCAGTTTTCAGATGTTCTAGCAACACAATGGAACACTGAAGAGAAAAATTCTGCATCGACCAACGCCTGTCATCTGTAAAGAGAAAAAGAAACCACCTTAGAAGCACTAACTTAATTACGTTCCACACCCTTTAGGACTGCCATCTCCTCGGCTAAACTATAAACTTTAGGAGTAGGAATTGTGGTTGAGAGCCTTTTTCAGGGGGCCATACTGCATACTAAGAACACACCTGGGGGGAGAAGTCAATCCAGGTTTGCCACATAATAATTTTGTGGCCTTGAACAATTTTTCTTGTCAGTAAAATGGTGATAACAATAGTACTTTCACTTTCAGGACCCTTGTAAGGGTTTATATACATATAGCAAAGTCCTTGGCACACTGTCTAGACCATAGTAAGCATCTAAAAAAATTTTTTTGAGACAAAGAGTCTCGCTCTGTCACCCAGGCTGCAGGGCAGTGGCCCGATCTTGGCTTACTACAAGCTCCGCCTCCCAGGTTCACACCATTCTCCTGTCTCAGCCTCCCACCACCATGCCCGGCTAATTTTTTGCATTTTTATTTTTATTTATTTATTTATTTTGAAAAGGAGTCTTAGTCTGTCGCCCAGGCTGGAGTGCAGTGGCGCGATCTCCACTCACTGCAAGCTCCGCCTCCCAGGTTCACGCCATTCTCCTGCCTCAGCCTCCCGAGTAGCTGGG